CGGATGGTGCCCAGGTTCCCAGCCAGCCTAAGCAGCCTGGGCGCTGTGACGTCCACCTGTGGTGCTGGCTGACTGGGAGCTAACCTCCCCCACCTCACCCCCATTAGGGTATATACATGAATAAAAGCAGTTTAGGCTTCTCTAAATACTTTGGCAGGAAAGGATATAAATGTTTGTTCCGGTTTCCTAGTTAAGAATTCAGAAATGGGGGCTAGCAGGTGATGTGAAGGGTTAAGGCGCTAGATTCCCACATGGCCGATCGTAGCTCAAGTTCGGCACTTGACAGCGTGCTTTCTCATTTTCTTTCACTCTAGTAAAATTAAATTTAAAAAATAATAATTCAGGGGACCAGCAGGTGGCATGGTAGTTAAGGGTGCTGGACTCCCACATGGCTAACCACAGTTCAAGTCCTAAACCTGGTGGCCTGTTTTCTCACTTGCCCTCTCTTTCTTTCTCTTGCTCTGTCCTTCTCAGGTCAAACTAAAAAATAAGTAAATAAATAAATAAAGTTAAATAATAATAAAATAAAAATAAAATAATTCAGTAACAGATATTTTACAGATTATAAAGCCGATTTTTCACCCCAAAATCATCCTAAAGATTGCTTAGTAGGTGACACATTTTATGGTATCTCTAGAACGATGACAGTGTATATAGGCATGCACGTGTGTGTAATTTGGGAATACGTCGAACATATTCTTTTATGAACACTTATATCCTTATCTGCTTTCATTAGGAGTCCAAACCTCCTAAGCTTATACATTTCTCAAATTTGGTAAAAAATAGTTCTCAGCTAACCAAATTAAAGAGAATAGAAAATGGTGGCATGGTGGTTAAGGAGGCTGGATTCCACATGGCCGACTACATGGTTTGAGTCTTGGACCCAGCAGCTTGAAAAACACATCAGGTGCGTGTACATGTGTGCCCAGAATCCTGAGAGGAGAAGGGATTGTGGCATGGACTTTTCCCTTTCTTTCCCTCCCTGTGACTTTCTCTGGTGAGCTCATGTGCCCTATAGCAAATTAAAAATATATACCTAAATAAATAAAAATTATTTATATACACACATACACACATGCACATACTAATATATATAAAACAGAAAACATCTCTCTCAGATACTGTTCCTTCTCCAGAATTCTGACACATGCTTTCCAAAGAGTAAGTTAAACTTTTCTAAGATTTTTCTTCAGCTTTTAGTAGACTTGCCCTTTTATTTTGAGGGAGAGGGGTATTTAAAACTGTAGATCTTCATTCATGTTTTCATGCCCTTGTACCTACTAGTAGCTCTACCGGAGTGCCCAGCCTGCCTCAGAGTGCCCAGCCTGTGAAGCATGGACACAGACCTCGAGTGGGAGCAGCAGTGGATTTAGAAAGAAAAGACACATAGCACACACACAAGTAGAGAAAAGCTGGGATTGAGTGGTCTGGGCATCTCTGATGAAGATCGCTGTGGCTCTGAACTGTTCCCAGTTCCCAGGTTTATTGTTTTATAGAGCAGGGGAGATGGGAGAAGTGGAAGTAAAGCCAGGCATTTTCCATTGTCAGCTGGAGCTGTGGAGCATCTTGCATCTGTGGTTCTAAGCAAGTCTCCCCTGGTCTTCTCTGACTGACACACAGCTCCCTTTCATTAACACTGCCCTGCAGTACGGAAGTAGATCACGTCCTTGGTAGATCACGTCCTTGTTAGAACTTTCACTTGCCCTGCAGTGTGAGCATAAAGACCGTATCTACTTTGTTCAGACAGTAACTGCCCATCTGTGTGATCCCCAGGTCCACAGAAATTTGCCTCTATCATTCTCTTTTCTTCCTCCATATTTCCAATATATTGTAACATTTAGAATGTCTCAGAGTGAGTAATATATGTTCACTCCTCTATTTCATTGGGAAGGTCATAATACATTTTTCTTTTTCTTTTTTTTTTGGAGAGGTTTTTCGCTATAGGGCACGTGCGCTCACCAGACAGACAGAGAGAGACATAGAGACAGAAAGCGAGAAATCACCCCCCAGGGGGGATGGTCACACTGCAGTCCCTTCTCCTCCATTCTCCTCTCAGGATCTTGGGCATGCACGCACACGCGCCCAGCATGAGTTTTAAGCCACCGGGTCCGGAACGCGAACTACGGTCGCCTACATGGGAGTCCAGCAACATAGCCATTACGCTAACTGCTGGTTCCCCTTGATACATTTTTCTATAATTTTCTATGCAAAAGTGCGTCATGTCTTTCTCAATGACCCAGTAGGTAGTGAACTCCTAAGGACAAGGCCTAAATCTGTGCTTTTTTTTTTTTTGGTTAGATGGTGCCCCACAGTCCTTTTCGCTCCATTTCTCTATCCCATTGGGATTTGGGGCATATGCACACACACGCTTGCCATGTTTTTCAAGTCCTGGACTGGGATTCAGCCCTTAGTTGATCATGTGGAAATGTGGGATCTGGCTCTCAGGACACAGCACTTAACTACTGTGCTACTGGGCCAGCTCTAAATCTGTGGATCTTTTGTTTATATATATTTTAGAGAGATTTTTTTGCAATAGGGCATGTGTGCTTATGGAGAGACAGAAAGTGAGAAACCATCCCCAGGGTGATGGCCTCGCTGCAGTTCCTTCTACGGGCTTCTCTAGGGATTTTGGGCATGCACGCACACACGCCCAGCAAAATCTCAACCTGCTGGGTTCTGGACTCGAACCACAGTTGCCCATGTGGAAGTCCAGCAACACAACCACCATGCCATCTGCTGGTCCCAGTCTGTGGATATCAATAACTGTAGAGCAGTGGATTTGAGCCTTTTTAAAATTTATGATAGAGCGTGAGAGAGAGAGAGAGAAAAAAAAAAGGCATGTTCCCTCCACAGGGTCTGGTCATGCCATGATCCCTTTCCTCTACTCCTCCACTCCTCCACCTCTTCAGATCCTGGGCACGTGTGGACATGCCCGGCACGATTCAGGCTGATTCGAACCATGATCAACAAGTGGAATCTGGCTTCTCTTGAGCAGTGCACTGCCGCTACACCACGGAAATGTGGACCTTTTAGTATTTGTAGTAAGTACCCTGTTAAAACCAAAAATCTAGGACCAGTAGATGGCATAATGGTTATGGACTCCCACATAGTCAATCACGGTTCGAGCCCCACACCTGGCAGCTTGAAACTCAACTCTGGACATGTGTGCATGTGTGCCCAAAATCCCGAGAGGAGAATGGAGGATGGTGGTGTGACCATTCTCTCTGGGGGACGATTTCTCGTTTTCTGTCTCTCTGGCAAGCACACACGCCCTGTAGCAAAAATCTCTAAAAGAATAAAAAAGAAAGAAAACCAAAAATCTTACTAGCATACTTGAAAGTGATCCAGAGCCTCTAGTTCACACTAAATTCACCTATGCAACAGGACAGTCACTTCCTCAGTGATGATTTCTCACGCCTGTAAAATCAGGGTGTCACCACAGTGTCCTCTTGTAGCCATTCAGTGACGTGGCAGAAATCTGAATGATTTTCGCTTTTTTGAATTCTCTCTTACATAGACACAAGCGAAGCTCTCAAACCATCCTAGTGTCTAGGAGGCGTATCTATTATTAGAGAACATCTTGGCCTTTTTATTTGAAACTCAAGGTTTTTT